AAGTGTTTGTAAGAGTGTAGTGCTCATACTCTGAAGTATCGTAACGAGCTTGTCATTAAGTGTTTGTAAGAGTGTAGTGCTCATACTCTGAAGTATCGTAACGAGCTTGTCATTAAGTGTTTGTAAGAGTGTAGTGCTCATACTCTGAAGTATCGTAACGAGCTTGTCATTAAGTGTTTGTAAGTCATTAGAAGGTCAGCAATTGCCAGTTTATGAAAATCGAAATAATAACACATCTTGCGAGAAACCCTATATGCTTGTGTAGCTATACTTATTTACTCTCCGTTTTTCAAAACGGTATTTAAGGTCGATAGAAATAGAAGGTGTGACACTAGATGGCAGCATTAATGCAAATAATCTATTTAGATATGTTCACACTCTCAAATGGCATTTAGACCATGCTTCAATATGAAATAAGTTTAAAATTTCTAAGATTCATGATACCAACATTTGTATTAACATAATATTAAAAAAAGGTTTCCTTCCGTTATTGGAATGTAAATAAAGTTAATCAGGGTTAATATTTAATGGAAGCTAAAGACCAAGAAGTTGTATAACTTATTATCGCACGTACAAAAGAGGTTTTTGAATTAGTTACCGGAATGATATTAATTTACCCGATTTAATTACCTTATGACCAAGCTAAATGATAACTGATCATAAAATAATTTGACAAGTTTACAGCAACATTTATAACTATAAAATTCTTTAACATACTACACAAATTTTAACTTCACATATATATATTTTATATTTAATAAAATGTCATTTCGTGTCCTGAGTCTACCTATAATACTATAGTACTTACAAATATTTGGGCATGTCTAGCTTACAAATACGAAGGATTTTTAGGACCACTTACCCTGATGTTTAGTTCTACTTCCTTCATCCACTTCTCTCTCATGTCCAGTGATGAATATAGATGTCCACAGCTGATCACAGACAATATTAGACGTTCTATGGGAAGTTTTATTATAACGTCCAATAGCAGTAGTCCTAAATCAAAACACACTATTTACACATATTGGTAACATTATTAACAATTGATTATATATGATTTAGCTTTGTGTTTGTATCCTTTTCAAGATTTTACACATTAAAATAATGAATAAAATACATTTAAAATGATATCTAAATATATTGAACATTGCTGTATGATAGTTCTTATTAAAACTAATAACGTAATTGCCATACATGCCTTTCAGGTGCCGGAATATTTTTATTTTGGGCTTTTGTAAAATGGCGCTCTCTATCGGTTTCTTTCTCAACTAAGTGCTGTGTAGCTTCCGAAGCTGCTTTAGATGGTTTTGATCTTGACATTTGTCGAGTGACCATAAGATTTGTGTTCATTTTGCACTTTATCTCTTTCTTCTTAGGTTTGGACTTGTCTTCATTCGTACTTACTGCTATTTTAGCAGTCACTGCATCCCATCGGCACGCCTTTTTCTTTTCTTCATACTCGTCTCTCGTCTTTGGATTTTCTTTGGAAGCATCAGAATTTTTTTTAATTTTGGATTTTACATTATTATGAAGATATTTTTTAAAATCAGAATTGTCTGTGTCCCTGAAACTTATTACTTGCTTTTTTCTTTTCCAAGCTCCGTTGGTCTTTGTGGTCAATTCGGCTTCTTTGGTTATTTTTGTGGAAATGGTTTCTGCTTCGATAGGCGGATTTGTATTTTCTTCTTTCCATAATGGTGTCTTCTCATTTGGTAAAGTAATGTTTTCTTGATGTATTGTATCAGTTGTTGGAATATCATTGTTTAAAGGGTTTTGAGTTTCAGTATCCTTTTTAAAAACTTCTCTTTGTGGGCTTACAGAGCGGGTGTCACAGTCTTCTATAGTTTCTTCACGAACTCTCGTTAAATTTGCTTCCCATTTGTTGTCTAGTATATTTGTGAAAGGAAAAGGAATTACCCGGTAACTTACGCCTTGATCTTGAACCTGGTCCTCGGTTTTATCATACTTCATACAAACATCATCATGTGTCATTTTATAAAAGTCTTTATTATTCTGTGTATATAACCTAAGATCACTTGAATGTTCACTTTCCAACTCGTTCAGGGATGTCCCAAGATAACGGTCTGTAAAGAAATCGGAGTTGTTTATGCTACTTCCCATCAGATGGCGCCCCATTTCATGTCCATCAGAAGTTACGTCACTATTTTGGTTGTAAGTAAAGAATTTCATGGACGCTTTTTCTCCAGATGAGATTAGAGTACTTACTCCGTTCTCTTCACTTTTTACCACCCCATTGCCATAGAACCATGTATTTGCATGTCTGTTTCTATTTTTTATCACTTGTTTTTGATATTCTATTTCACTACATGTTTCTAGGCTTCTTTTTACAACTTCTTGTACCTTATATAAAACCTTTGTTGGATTAGAGTCGGAATCATTGGGCAGCAAAAACGTTTTCATAAGCGGACAGCTTTTAGTGTATTCTTCATTTTCATTGTACAGTGCTTTATTTTTCGAAATACCAACGTGATATTCTTCCTCTCTAATTTTTAGCTCTATATTTTCTGGTAACAATTCACTGGTTTGATTTTGAAATATACCTGAAAAGTTTTCTCCTTTAATTTCCATTGCTTTTTTCTTTATTTCTGCAAGTCTCGATGACAGAGAAACCACTTACTTGTAATATTAGGTGCTGTTTTTAGGATTTACTTTATTTAGTTCTTTGTATTCACCGTCTACTCAAGAAGAAGTAGGAACTATATCTTGATTCAATTTCTGGTCATTCCTATCTTGTTCATTGTTACCAAGAGAAAATAAATCCCTTTCAAGAAAACTCGTGTGTATTATTTGATTACGTGGATTTTCGTGACTTTTATTTGTGAAAAGAGAGTAATAAGGGGATACAACTTTTTCACAAAAACTACTAGATTGTTCTTCAAATGACTTATGAATATTCTCTGAAGATAAAACATGTTGTGTCATTACTGGTGAATTTAAATAAAATCACAAAAACTGAAGTTTTGCTTATCAGGGTTTCCCTATGCCTACATCACTAGATAGAAACGAATATTCCAAAGTTATGAACATAGGTAAAGTACCTGATGTTTTGTGCGAAGCCTTTTTTTATCCAATTGCCAGTCCAGCATCCCTTAAAAGAAAAGAATAGGCCAAACGTACCCAAACGTTTCCTTTTTTACCAATAAACCTGATTCAATTACTTGAGAGGTTCTGAAGTCAGTATGTATTTTGCCAGGTATCTGATAACTCTCCAAGAACAACCATTCTTTGTCAGTGTGGTTAATGATTTTGATATAAAATCCTTGGGTATGAGGTTTCTGGGAACCTGATCAGTAACACCGTCCAGTCTCTCTTCTTCTAATAACTGATGAGATGAAAGAAGAAAAAAAAGGCAACTAAATATATATAGTGTTCAATTTTATGTACGCTGTCCTTAAAAACTATTGTATATATCTTGTCTAATAAATAAGCAAAAGTGTACAAAAAATACACCTTACAAAATAATTTGTCAATTATTATATGCAATATTTTAAGCAACTTATCAAATCTTCCAACCAATAAAATTGCATGCTGTAAAGTTAAAAATTATACATTTTATTTTTTGTGGAGGAATAAATCCCGAAATTGGATAAATGAGTTAACTAAGTAAAATGTTTTGTTTTAACTTAAGTTACAGAACCTACCTTTCTTCAATAAAAGGATACTGTAATAAAGTTCTATGTCTTTCAGCTGGAAAGTTGGGATAAAACTAAATAGAACACATTGTTCATTACAAGTTTGTTTTTTTTTTGGAGTGAAGCTTCCAATGATGTCATAGGTATATGTGAGCTTTTATAAAACCTCGAAATGAAATGTGATACAATCTAATAACAAACGGTAATAGGGTATTACAAGCACGTTTTCTTGCATTGTAGTAATAGCTTTGAATACTAAACAACAGTTGTATTCAATTGTTACTTACTAGAATATAAAAAAATAATTAAAGATGAAGTATTTCAAAACGATTGTAAGGAGATTATGTGACTGTTCATTGTTAATTCATGCCTTGTAATTCTTGGTAAGGAATTAATCATTTTTGGAAGAGTGCGCCATTTCTGTTCACGTTCGTATACGTATAGATAGTGTTTGCACATTTTTTATAGATGACTTTAACTGAGAATACCACCAAAATATGGTTATATCTCGTAGACCATATCTTTATTTAAAATGGTACAGTAGATGAAGCATAAAAATGTAAAAATCAGATTGTGAGTGAATATATAGAATTACAAAGCCTATATTGAAATTTCTGCAAATCAATAGTTATTCAGTAATTTAGCTAAACAGTTGCTATTTTCAATTAAGGCTTTACTCAAAAATTACTATCCTTTTTAGTAATTCTAGAGATGTTTCTAATTCAAGCACAAGTTTTGAAGATACTTAGTTATTGAAATAAGCTGAAATAGCAAACTTTAGAAAATAACAGTTGCACCCATCCACCCGGGGTGTAACGACCCCACGGGAGAGAGGGGGGTCTTACTCTAAGCCTCCAATCTTAAAACAATGGTACGTTATAGAAAAATATCAGGAAATTTTAACAGTTTTTATTGTACGGCATATTGTGCTCTCTATGATTGTTCATTGTTTGAAGTCGTAAAGTGAAATTCCATGAAATATGTACTTTGTAATCATAAAAATTCGAAGTGCTCACCTTACATCAAAGAACTGTTTAAAAAAAATGAAGTTGTGTTTTGATCATTCACACTCGTTTCTGTCGGCCAGTGTATTTATACTCGAGGTCACGTGAACAACAGTTACATATAATTCGCTTAGATGGCAGTACATCATAACAGGAAAACAGCATTTCCGGTCTTCTTCTCGGACTCTGCTCTAGCTTGATCCGGCAACTCATGCAATCAAATTAAAAATCACGAAAACCATAGGCAAGTCCCCTAAGTTTTAATTAACATGTGAGCTTCAACTACCATATAAGCCAAGCAAGAGGCGAAGAGAAATTCAACAACTTCCTGACCACCTCTGGGTTATCTAACCTAAATACCTACAAGGATTGGATTGGACATCATAACTGATGATTTACGTTTTATCTACAGATACCGCTTTATCTCACTTTCCGCTGGTATTTGGCATTACCAACCTGAACACATCTTATGCGGCACAAAGGCTAACAGATGGAGTTAGAAGACACAAAATTAGCCATAACCATTCCTATTTTAGAATTGTTCATCAGTCTGTAGTACCGCCACCTACACAGTTAGTTTTAAACCGAATAGTAGAATTGTCTGCCACTTTTATAACACACCCACAATTGGAAATTCGGAACGGTGCAACGTATCCCGGGTTCGAACTTATCGATTAGTAACCCAGAATGCTAACCACCACTTCCGTCCCATATTAGTAGTAAGTATTACCCAATAACTAATAATTGACAGAGTCGTAATCATGCCCGTAGTCATGTTTATTATTTATTCATAAACTGTCAGTACATTAATTGGAAATATGTGCCATGGTTGTTGGGTGTTTATTCATAAACTGTCAGTACATTAATCGGAAATATGTGCCATGGTTGTTGGGTGTTTATTCATAAACTGTCAGTACATTAATTGGAAATATGTGCCATGGTTGTTGGGTGTTTATTCATAAACTGTCAGTACATTAATCGGAAATATGTGCCATGGTTGTTGGGTGTTTATTGTATAATAATTGGTATAATACTGGTGATGGTTGATAAATATGTGTATGTATTGTATTGCAATTCATTTATTTACTTTGTACTTAAACTGTTTCTCTTTATAATTGTTATATGCGTGTCATATATTAGAACATAACTTGTACATTGCGTGTCATGGCTCCTAAATGTTAATACATTTGTTTCGTTTGATTGTTGGCAGATTTATTGTTTATATTATCTTGTTTTTAAAAGATTATTTAAAATGATGAATTATAATTAATTTAATTGTCATAAAACATTGGTATTAGGTTTATTATATTTTCAGACATTACATTTTGTATCTAATCCCTTAAGGATTTTCAAAAATTAGAAGTGTATATAGTATCAGTATTTCAAACCACGCTATATTCGTCATATCATTGCCAACGACGCACTTTACTCAGTCCAGAGCTCTTCAGGCTGGCTGTGATACAACAAGTAGTTGGACACTATATGTATAAGCCATTAGAAGTGTATATAGTATCAGTATTTCAAACCACGCTATATTCGTCATATCATTGCCAACGACGCACTTTACTCAGTCCAGAACTCTTCAGGCTGGCTGTGATACAACGAGTAGTTGAACACTATATGTATTTGTTACAACAATTGTTATGGTGTGTATGCCATCTTGTAAAAGGCGTTCACATGATATAAATGTTGAATTATACCTGACATCGTTAGTAACTGAATTTCCCCTCAGTTGTTTGTTTCTGTCTGCTATTTGTTAACGTATACCTAATATAGTTGATTTATATTCTTCTTTCTTTCGGTATTTCAGTGCAAAATACAAAATTCCAAGTTGATCCCTATACTTCTTTAGTCAGACCAACTATGTATGTGTCTGCTGAAGATTGGTTTGAATGTGCAATGTAATGGATTTAATAATGTAATATTTGTACTGTGTCAGTATATAACAGTCATACCCGAGTAACGTATTAGAACATGACCTGTAGTGCCACAGTGTCGAGAATGCTAAGGAATACTAAGAGACTGAAAAGGTATTCTGCAGTTAACATTTTGGCCTTGACTGATGGTACTTATTAGTTTTGTAAACATTTTCGGATATAGAAATAATCTATAGTGAACATGAATTGTTCGTTACCAATATCCAAGAAATAGTTTATTAGGTTGTAAGACCAATTTGTTATTGGTTAATATTATTTGATGATAAGTAATCCTAAGCTGAAGTAGTACAGATGTTCCAGGAGACCAGATTTACTTGGAAACCTATTCTGGTGACTACTGTTGTAGTTAGAAAAAAAATATATGTAAAATATCACCATTCTTCAGTGAAGAGAAACAGTTTTAATATGCATAGAATTTGTGTGTATGCCGATGGTTTATACAAAGTAAGTGATGGAACTCAAGTTGATCATATGACGAGATTAGTGAAAACCTAACTAAATTAGAAACCAAAAATATTATGAATCTTCCGTCAAAGAAATTCTTATAGAAAGAACAATTGAGCTGAGTACGACATCTTTGTTAGTGAGGTACTTCAAGAGAGATCAAAGTCAGGAACTAACTCGATCAGTAAAAAAACAGGTATAACCAAAAATATCCTAAACAGCAATCTTTTCTGCTAGCTATATTTTATATATTAAAGTAGATGATGATGAAAATAAGTTCTGTTCAACTTCACTCTCAGACTTGTGTGCATATCTTAAAATTCTCTCAATCGACCCATAACATGATAGTAAATACATAATTTAGTTATTGATGCCAGGTATGATTTATACTAACATTGCATAAAAAATGTTTTCGTGACATACAGAGGGTCGTGTGAGATATATTAAAACGGTTTTTGTTTATCCAAATCAGCAAGTCACATGACAACTACAGCCTACTTAAAGCTGCTGTGTAACAGCACGTAACAGGATTACATTTTGACATTGTTCGGCGTTATGTCAAAAAGAGTGGTGCCATCAAAAATTGGTCGCTTTTAAGTATGATGTATAATAGCCCTTTCCTACGCAGAATATTCCAACATTCAGATTATTAAGATACGTTCAGATCGTGGATTTAAAATTTTCAACACGAGTATATCCTTTGTACTTAATGTCATTGGAAAACAAAGGAATGTGAATTACCTATGAAACCCTGGACCATCCAAAAAGAGATCTGTAACAAGTCGTACTCAAGCCGTGGTAAGAAAAGCACTGCATCTTGGAACAAATGAAAAAACAACACGAAAACAAAAGTCAGTAGTAAATCCCATTAATGCGCACCAGGCAACATTATGCAAGATAATCAAGAAGGAACTCTGTCTGTAAAAGAGGTCAACAAGGTATGGGAAAACTAAGATAAGGCTTCTAGTCATGCCTTCCATTCAACCATCACATGCCTTAAACAGCTGGAGAATGAAATGAATATTCATGCTATTGGATTGGAAGATATATTGGTCAAGTCGCATATTTCATTGCCTATGGATTTCTGTGCAATCTGGCTGGTGAAATAGTCGTTCAGAAACCGTTGTTCTCGTATATTAAATATATTATGAACAGCATGTAAGGATGAATTGTGTAATTTAGACATGATAGCCTTATGACAGAGCATTTTGCAAGGGAAATTATGCTTCAGGGCTATTATGAAGATGCATGGTCGTCAGGTAAAGCGTAAATAGATGTACGGCATGGCAAAACTTCAAACTAGTT